CCTACAGCAAGCAGGACAACGTCAGGTTTGACTCATACAGGGCATCACCTCGGCCTCTCGGAAACGCCGTGGCTTACGTGAATGCGGCGTTTCTCGTCAATCTCTCGGGTGACGGACGAGTTTGCGAGTCGAGGCTCGCGTTCGGTGCTTTTGGAGGAGAGCCTACTTGTCAGCGTGCTACTGAAGTTGAGAGGTTTCTCGAAGGGAAGGTGGTGGACGGTGGAGTTATGTTGGAGGCCATCCAGCTCGCGAAGGTTTGTATAGTGCCGAAGAAGGGGACCTCGAAGGCCGACTACAGGTCTTCGCTTGTTGCGAGCTTCCTCTTCAAGTTCTTAAGCTCTCTAGCCGCTCCAAGCAGCAGCATTGTACCTGAGCTCCCGTATGTTACACAGGCCCAGAATGGAAGCACCCCGAGGTCGTCAAGAAAGATCATGTCTGGGAGACAGACATTGCAAGAACATCTCCAGGGAGCTGTCGGACAGCCAATGTCCAAGGTTATGGGAGAGCTTCAAGCTTCAGGTAAGCTGTTCTGTTTTGGTTTTAGTTTTTGTTCTTAAAACTTCTCTTCAGGTGAAGCTATTTACGTGGATGATATTCCAGCTCCGAGGGACTGCGTGCACGCAGTCTATGTTTACAGTACGAAAGCATTGGCAAAGATAAACGGAATCCGGCTGGAGAATGCACTGGCTTCGCCTGGCGCGCTGTCCTTCGTTGGAGTTGATGACATTCCTTCTGGCGGACAGAATATGGGCCTCGTCTCCGATCTCTCTCAAGAAAAGCTCTTCGCCGAGGATAAAGTCGAGTGCGTGGGCCATGCCGTCGGACTTATGGTAAGCTACGGACGAATCCATTGATTTTAAACCTGTCCTCGTCCAGATTGCGGACACGCTGAGAAACGCCAAGGCCGCCGCCGGCAAAGTTGTGATTGATTACGACACGGAGTCTGTCGGCTCTCCCGTGCTAACCATGGAAGAAGCGGTTGCCAGAGGGGAACTCCACGAGACCCCACAGTTTTTCAAGGCTATGATGAAGGATAAACACGGTAATGTTGCCGAAGAGATGGCCAAGGCCAGTCTTAAGATCGAAAACGCTGAGGTAAAACGGAGCAATTTTTATTTTGCAAGCACGTTTTGATCACGAGTGGAACTTCCAGGTGGGCACAGGGTCGCAGTACTATTTCTACATGGAACCACAGACTGCGTTGGTCGTTCCGGACGAGGACAACTGTCTCGTCGTCTACAGTTCCTGCCAGAGCCCCGACTTTGTGCAACACAGCGTGTCAGCCTGCCTCGGCTTGCCCATGCACAACGTGAGAGTCATCACCCGACGAGTTGGCGGAGGATTTGGAGGCAAAGGCACCAAAGCCTGCCTGGTAAGTAGTCTACAGTTTTGCATCTTCTTGCATCAAAACTATGGTTTTTGTTGCGAGCACTTCCTTTCTCTCATCTTCGTTTTCTCGCATTCCCTTTTACACCCTTGCTTCTAAGCATGAATCGTGCAGGTTGCCTCTGCCTGTGCACTCGCCGCGTACAAACTCCGCCGCCCCGTCCGCCTCACTCTCGACCGCAACACAGACATGATCATGATGGGTGGAAGGCACCCAATGAAGGCCGTTTACGACGTAGGCTTCGAGCCCGACGGCAAGATCAACGCCCTCCACGCCAAGATCTTCATCCAAGGAGGCTGGTCGCCAGAATTCACCCCTGTCATGCCAATGGGGGTGCTCTCCGCCCTTAAGAAGCTCAACTGGGGAGCCTTCTCCTTCGAGTTCGTGCTGTGCCGGACCAACATCCCGAGCAGGACGGTCATGCGCGCCCCGGGCGACGTCCAAGGCTGCTTCTTCGCCGACGCAGTGGTCGAGCACGTCGCAGCTCTCACAAACTTGAGCTCGGAGCTCGTCATGGAGCGCAACCTCCACTCGGTCGAGAGCGCCGGGGCAGCCTACGGCGCGGCCGCGGTCGGGGGCGAGGAAGGATACACTCTCCCGGCGGTCTGGTCGCGGCTGAAAGATCGAGCAAAAGTTGACGAGCGGCTCCGTGGAGTGGAGAGATACAACGCAGCCAACGCTTGGAAGAAGCGCGGGGTGGCGGTGTCGCAGAGCACGTACACTGTGCAGCAGCGGTACCAGCCAGGGAGAGTGTCGATCATGGCGGATGGATCCGTGGTGGTGGAGACTGGCGGCGTGGAGATTGGACAGGGGCTGTGGACCAAAGTGAGGCAGGCGGCGGCGAGCGCGCTGGGTGAGGGGCTCGGCGGTGGAATTTGCGTGGACGTCGGGAGAGTCCGGGTGGTCCAGGCGGATACCATTAGCATGCCGCACGGTGGATGGACTGGCGGTAGTACCACGTCCGAGGCGAGCTGCGAGGCCGTGCGGAAGGCTTGCCGGGTGCTCGTCGATCGCTTTAAGCCGATTCATGAGAAGAGAATGGCTGAGTGCCGGGATGGAGAGACGGTGTCGTCGTGGGAATCGCTCGTTCTTGCTGTAAGTTTGTGATTGTTTTGATTTTTGCTTTCGTTTCTATCCTTTAATGTTTTGCAGGCAAAGAATGCTCGGGTCGAGATGGCCGCGCAAACTGCCTTCGTTTCGTCGCCTGAGGCCCTGACGTACATAAACTATGGTGCTGCTGCTAGTGAGGTAAGATCGTTTTATCCATCTCTTGTTCTTTCATTTTCTTATTTTTTGTTTTGTTTTGGTTTCATCCATGGCTTGGATTTTCTCTTGTCAAGGTTGAGATCGATGTTCTCACTGGCGAGTACGAAATTCTCCAAACCGACATTGTCTACGACTGTGGGAAGAGCATAAATCCGGCCGTGGACATTGGACAGGTAACATATTTCCAGAAACTATTGCAAGCTCTTAGAGAGATTCTTCATTTCCAGATCGAGGGTGCGTTTGCTCAAGGCGTGGGATTCTTTACATCCGAGGAGCATCGCCACGACGAGCAAGGAAAGCTTATAAACGATGGAACATGGACGTACAAGCCTCCAACGCTGGACAACTTACCTCGCCATCTCAATGTGGAGCTCCTCAACAGCAAAGTTCACGAGCACAGGATACTGTCATCCAAAGGCAAGCCTCCACTCCTTTCTTTCCTATGCTGTTCCTTAGAGATCGTCTTGATCGAGCTCCTTGAATTGTGTAGCTTCTGGAGAGCCACCTTTGCTCCTGGCATCGTCAGTGCACGGTGCTCTCAGGCACGCCATAGCTGCTGCTCGTAAGAACCTCCGCGATCCGGAGCCTTATTTCCAGCTAGACGCCCCAGCCACGATAGACAAGGTGCGAATGCTCTGCGGCGTCGAAAACATAGAGCTTTATCTCAAAGCTTAAGAGGTATCGCAAGCTTTTCTCGAGCTGTAAACTATCTATGGTATAAGGACAGTAGAGCCAGTTGTTCTTCGGTTCTCGATATCATCGTGAGCCTTTGCTGCGTCCGAGAGAGGGTAAGTCTGGTTTACGCGGACTTTGAGAACTCCGGCCTCGACGTTGTGGAAGAGATCATTGGCAATCTCCAGTAGCTCGTCCCTGTTGGTGGTATACTGGATCAGCGATGGCCTGGTGAGGAAGAGCGACTTTGGAGCGAGTATGGACATTGTGAAAGGATCTGGAGCGCCGGAGGATTGTCCATAACTTATCATGTAACCGCGAGTAGCCAAGCAATCGAGAGATCCCTGGAAGAAAAGAGAAGAAAGTTTGAAAACTCTAACTAAAGAACTTGTGAAAGAACTTTGCGAAGAACTTTGCAAAGAACTTTGCGTGAACTTTGCAAAGAAAGAGGTACCTGGAACGTGTCCCTGCCAACCGAGTCGTAGACAACGTGAACGCCGCTATTGTTTGTGATGGCCATGACTCGCTTGCCAAAGTCTTCCTTGGAGTAAATGATTACGTGGTGGCATCCATCCTCAGTGGCCTGGCGAGCTTTTTCTTCGCTTGAGACGCAGCCAATGACTTGAGCACCCAGCGAACGAGCCCACTGGCAGAGCAGCGAGCCAACACCACCGGCAGCGGCGTGAACTAGAATCGTGTGCTTGGGTCCTACCTGAGAGAACAAAAAAACAGAAGAACTAAGAAACTAGAACCGAAAAAATATAAGAAAACCTTGAAGGTTTTTCGAAGCAGCATTTGTGCGGTCATTCCTTTGAGCAGTATCGCTCCCGCTTTGATGAAGTCCACACTTTCAGGAATGGGAACTAACGCACGCGCTGGAACAATCTGTTCTTCAGCGTAGGCACCGAAAGCTCCCATGCATCCAACTTTGTCTCCCACTTTGGCGTCTGTCACGCCTGGACCGATTGCAATGACCTCGCCAGCAGACTCGAAGCCTGTTGAAAAGAAGAACGAAACGAAGACGAAAAGAAGATCAATATGAAAGCAAAGAAGAAAAGAATGAAAAAACGATGAGAGGAATTGATATACTCTGGCTGGGCTTACCAGGAACATATGGCATTTTGGCGCCGTAGACCCCCTTCCGAAAGTAAACATCGATGAAGTTGAGACCAACAGCTTTAATTCGGATCTTAACTTGGCCCTCGCCGGGCTCTCCCACGTCCAGTTCTTCATATTTTAGTACCTGTAAGATCACAGCATAGGGGAAAGAACAAGAGGACAAAAACAAAGAAAGGGTTCTTCTTCACGCAATATGCAAATAGAAGAATCACATAGAACATGAACAAATCCTTCTCAAGCATCACAGTTTGCTCAATCAGGGCTTGGACCAAGCAAACACTGTCAACCAAGCAAGAAATTCCAGCCAAACACGAGAAATCCGGACGAAAACCGAGAAATTACGCTAGAACAGCGCACGATCTCGCTGAATTTCGCAAGAAATTCGCGGTATCGCGAAACCCTAGCTGGAAGAAACGATGGCGCTTGCTTTTACCTCTGGGCCGCCAGGCGTGTAAACCTTGAAGCCCTTCACCATTGTTTGCTTTACCTTTGTGTATAAAAACAAGATTATATCCGGCGTGTAAACGTAATACCCACGGGTTAAAGAAGAAGCTAACACAATGACATAAACGGGAATGCAGTTGATGAGAGAGCCCTTGATTTCTTTCTTCGTCGCCAGAACAGAGATAGATAGGGAGGCGCCAGGGCGCTGCGCGAGAATTTTCCAGCGCCAGGGAATTTTCCAGCGCCCCGGATAGAATGTCACTGGCGCCGTGACGGCATGGAATCCTGGAAGAAGACGCAGCGGCGGTGGCAGCGGCAGCGGCATCGGCATCGGCAGCACGGGATCCAGCTCCTCGAGCTCGTCACGGCGAGCGGCAGCGCTTGTGAATCCGTGGCCGGGCGACAAAGATCGGGCATTTCTTGCTGCGTGGACGGATTTCTTCCCACCAGGTGCGTGAGAATGCTGGAAATGTGAGCCCCGGGGGCGCGGCCTGGGGATTTTCTCGAGCTCTGGCGCTGCGATCGGGGGGATTTTCTGGCATTTGAGCTGCGGGAAAATCGTTTCTAGGTTTTTTTCTAGGGCAGGAGGGTCGGGAGTTCTTGGTAGAACAGATGCATGGCGGTTCGAGGAAGGATTCTAGCACCGGGGAGTGAGTAGAGCAGTGCTTTCAAGATGCCGCTACTGAGGCAGGAAGTTTTCTTGCTGGCTGAGACGCCAGAGGATTTGTCGCCCGACGAGATGGTGTTCCAGGTCCGGTTCACGAAGGAGATTTTTCGGGACTATGAGTATGTGCATTCTTTCTTTCATAGTTCTCGGTTTGAGCTCCTTGATGTTTTAATGCAGCGAGTATGTGAGACGCATGAATCTCTATCGGCAAAAGATATGGACGTGCAAAGCTACTCGTCGGGAAGGTCTCACTTACGAGAAGGCATTGGTTTCGGAGTGTCGAGCAGCTCAAAAGGCCGAGTTTCCGAAAGATTTCATGGGACCAGTTCTACACCTGGTCCAATTTAGTAAGTGATCGACTTGGAATTTTGTTCTGTAACATATTGTCCTATTTCTGCCAGGTGAGCTTGAGATCGATGAGCTCGTTGACCACGTTTTTACGACTCTCAGCGATAGATTTGTTCCTGGGGAGGAAATCCCAAGCATTGCCGACGATGCGAGACGGAAGTGCAGGATACTTGACGTCTCTGAACAAGATGGAGAGAATGGTACAAAGGCTTTAAAGTACGAAGTCGGCTGGCTCGATGGAGAAGGGCAGATTACCGAGAAGGCTGTGGAGGATCCTATCAACTTGATGAAGAGAAAGCTACCGTTTACAAAAGAAGCGTTGAAGAAGTTTATTCAGGAGTCAGCTTATGGAGAAGTAACGCTGGACATGCCTTGGTTGGTGCGGGACAAGCTCGCTAGGAAGTTCAAAATACCTTTTGATCCACCGAAAGAGGAGAAGCAGTTGCACACTAGACTCGATCCGACTCAAAGACAAGTCAACCAATCTTACTTTGTAAGTGCGTGATGTTTCTTTCTGTCTTCTTACTGCCTTTCCAGGACGAAAGTTTGCAAGATGCCGATGTTGAGTATACAGCTCGAAAGCGCAGCAAGAAATACAGGGATTGCGGATCGAGTGGTAGATCAAAGAAAAAGTACGATGGTAAGCCGTCATATCTCTAGAAATTGTATCAGTCTCTGAATGGATGGTTGTTTCTGGCCAGGCTATTCGTCACCCTCCGAAGATCTCATGGATGATAATCTCCTTGAGCCAAACCCGGATGATCCTCCGTTACCGGAACGGCCTGTGCCTTCCACAGATTTTCCGCTCGAAGCTGAGTGTATCGGCGCTACATTGATGGTGTGGGACTTTTGCAACTCATTTAGCACATTGTTACAGCTGTCGCAGTTTTCGTTGTACGATTTGGAGAAGGCACTACTTTATACGGATGGCGAATCCTCGCTCTTATCGGAGGCGTATTTTGCCGTTTTTCGCGTTGTCCTTGGCGAGCAGGGGGTTAAGCAGCGACTTGCCCAACGTAGAAAACGGAAAGTAATAGTAAGTACCTTCTTTCATTCGTTGATCTTTCTTACTCGATGCCATGCAGCTTTCTATAGATACATGGAAGGATGATGTTTGCGACTATTTGGAGCTCGAAGGGCCTCAAAAGTTGAAACCTTACCTGTCAACAATTCGGACAGACTGCTACTCTAGGCTACCTGTCTTGTCCAAACTGGAGATATTCGAGGAGCTAATTGAGAGAGCCATCAACACCACCGCGATTCGCAGTCACCTGGACGAGAACATTGAAGAGTTCGAGAGTCTTTCCGCTCAAAGACGTGGCGAAGGCCTCCCGATATCCATGAGAAAGGGCTCAAGGTTTACGGAGAAAGCTAAAGCAACCGAGAGTCTGGAAAATGGCTGCACTGAAGATGTTTCAGAGTGCAAGCCCAAAGAGTGCCTGCACGAAAATGGATGCTTAATCGGGTGGCTGAAAAAAGGAAAACGGAAACGGAATGGTAACGCTGATGCAAATGGCGTCAAGAGGTTGAACTTTTCCTTCTTTCTCTTTGTGTTTTATTGACGGGGGTGTGTTGACAGGGAATACAGCGCACGTTGTTTGTTCTTCAATAGCTCGAGGCAGACGTTGTTTAGGTGTAACAGAGTCGAACTTCACGATGAAAGGGAGCCACAAACGGAAAAAGAAAGGGCTGAGTCTGAGCTCCAGAAAAGACTGGTACGTGTGGTTTTTTATTTTGTTCGTTTATTATCTTGTCTATCAAACTTCAGGAGCATCTCGATCGTGAACTCGAGAAATGCACCATTCGGATGAGCCCGCTAGGGAGGGACCGCAACTACAATAGATACTGGTTTTTTCATAGGGAGGGACGCATTTTTGTCGAAAGTGAAGACGCAAACAGCTGGTCTTTCTACAGTTCAAAGAAGGAAGTAAGTGTTTGAGTCAAGCTTGGATTGTCAGTTCGCTGACCTGTGTGGGCAAAGCAGCTCGATGAATTGCAGGAATCTTTGAACCCGAAAGGAGCAAGGGAGAAAGCTTTGCGGGACCAAATAGAGAGCACTTACACTAGAATCAGGTATATGGTTTGCTGTTTAGTTTTTTATGGCTAAGAGCTTTCCATTTCAGTACTTCGATGCAGAAACGGTCCAAGGATGTAGCTCAGAGAATAGCTCTAGAAGAAGCCAACATACGACGATCACTACGGGTGCAGTCAGCTCCCCGGCCCACGGGGTTCTTAGCATATGTGAATAAGAACAGGACCGCTTGAGGCTTACTCCCTCGTATCGCAACTTTGGGTTTTTTTCGTCCAGGGTTAGGAGGAATTGCTACACTGTACCCGGCAGTTTGAGGAAGACAAACTAAGCGTGTCGTTTAGTGTCGTTCAGTGTCGTTCATTTAAAATGGACACATTTCTTTGATCAGGTATGTGTGTTTCTAATTCGTTTATTCTCCTTGCAGTTTGGAAGTGGAGATATCTTCAATACGGAAAGGCAAGGTATGTGCAACTGGTCGTTCTCCTTATTCCGATCTCCTGAAAGTGTTTTCGTTTTTTTTTTTTTTGTTTTTGTATTTGATTCAGATGGAAAGGAGGATACTTACTTCATGGCTTTCTGCTTTTAGATTCTCGTGTTGTGCGACGTCGTCATTCTTGGCAAATCTTCCTCGTACTCGAGGCCGACTGTCTGCCAGCGTTTTCCGACATGCATACTAAATAGTACAAGCGTAAGTAAGTAGTGGTTCTTGTGGAGTTCGTTTGTACCTTAATTTTCTTTTGAAAATTTCGTTCTGACCGTTTCTGCCTGTATCGCTCTAATTTTGCTTTTCTTTCCTCAGGAGTATATTTGTTTGCTTTCTCTTGGGAAGCCTTCGATCCGCCACTGTTGCAAGGGCTGTTCGACGGGCTGTTATCAGTACTCTGCAACACGGAAAAGTAAGATCAGCTTATCATTCTCATGATTTAAACTTACATCATCAGTTGCTGCAGTAATTCCTGCCAAGTTTGGCAAAGAAGGTGTTCTTCCTAGCAAGGACGGTTTTCTCAACGTTGAGGAGTCAAGAGGGGCATTTTGTGTGCAAGGTACGCTATGCCCAATTCCTGAAAGGAGTTGTCCTAACGAGTTCAAGCTCGTACTTCTGTGGACCAGATGTAGAGGCAGAGATTGTGAAACAGACTGCGCCCTCGAGAGGAGTAAAGAATCTAGATCCGACATCAAATCCACTTCGTCAGTGGTAGTGCTACTCATGCTGGATGCTGTGTCAAGAATCCAGGGCCTGTGATCGACTACCTCGTCCTTGGCAGCCTTGGAGGGGGAATGCTGGGCCTTTTCCTGAGAATTCAAGTGAGTGCTAGATTCTACCTTGGCTTTACTTTCTTCGTCGTTATGATTCAATGCAGGATCCATGCTCATATTTTCTGCTATGCTATCCATGTCGAGAAACATTCCTACTTCGGTGGCAGGCTCAGCCTTGTAGAAAGACAAGTGAGTATCCATTTTGCAATGTAAGAAACCTTTGCTTTCTCTTGCTGCCTCGATCTAAATTTTCCTCCTGTGGTCAGCTCAGCACCATTCGCTCCAAGCTAGCCTTCCTTTGATCAACACAAAAGCTGTAGCCTTGGGGCGATACTTTTTCGGAGAGAACAAGGAGACCTCATCGAGCAAGTTTTCTCGACGAAATCCCCGGCTGCTGGCCTGCAGTCTCGGAAAGGTTTGTAGCTGGCGACAGCCTCGGGCATCAAAGCCAGCGAAACTGGTAAGCAAGTAGATGCTGGTGATTGATGTCAAACAGTTCCAGCATTGCTAACATCAATGGCCGACCCACTCTCTCTCCCAGGCACTGTTCTTCAACACGGTCATCCGGGAGCTTGGAGGTCAAAACGAGCAAACACTGCGCACGGTGAAGCGCCATTTGTTCTCCATGTAAGGTACGTGTTTCATAGTTCCTTCGGAAATTCCATATTTGAGCTGGCAACCTTTTCGTAGGAGCTTTTGCGACAAGAAACTTAGCATGATCGAAGCCAGTAAGCTCGACTGCCATGACGAGGTGTGGGCGCGACTCCAAATCCGGCATTTCGATCTGCAAGCAATTGAGGCAGCCGAAACTTTCGGCAAGTTTGAGAGGCGATCGTGTCGCTAAGAGGGACGATCGCGTGCTCGCGAGAGATGCTTTCTCGGCTTCCATAAAAGGAGCGAGAATTCACATCGTGATTTTGATTCTGGTGGCATCGCTCGGAGTCGCTAACCTTAAAATTAATTAATCATCGTTCAAATATCCCGCTTAACATCTTCACCGTTAAATTGGACTAATCTCGGCCGTCCACTTCCCAGGAATTAGGGCGTCCAGCTATGGCGGAAGTGGCGAAGCTCCGGCGCACAGTGTTCCAGCGTTTTCGCTGCTTCCCGAGCTGGTTGCAAAGGATCATCGCCAGGACGCTGGGCTGCAAGGTCCGCTTCCAGAAAATCCTCGGCTGTGGATCTTTCAACCTCGTGATCGAGGCACTGCTGGATCGTCAAGAGGATGAGCAGCCACGCCGCGTCGCCATTCGAATCGGGCTCCCAGGCGAGCTCCGGGTGCCACTGCCGCTCGCAATGTCGGGCTACGCCGCGACGCTCTTCCTCGCGAGGCTGGATCTTCCCGCCGTGATCGCAGGGCCTGTCTACGTGGCACGTCCACCTCTGCCCTACTTACCACGTGGCCGCTCCCACTTCGCTGTCATGGGCGTCGCCGAGGGCGTCCCCGCCAGCAATGTGTGGAGCAAAGACGCGACGCTGGCGTGGAAGAAGGCCGTGCTGGCTGACCTCGCCATGGTCACGCTCCAGCTCTATCGCCACCCGTTGGATTCGCTGGGCAGTATGGAGGTCTCGTCATCCGACGGCTCTCCGTGCGTGGGGAGAATGCTGCAAGGTGCCGTGAGCTTGGCAATGGAGCGCGGCATCGAAGTTGGCGAGCTCAGCCCCGGGCCTTACTCGTCGTGGGCGGAATACGCAAGGAACCAGATCGAGGGCTTCGTGTTGCTCTACGGGGATGATCCCAAGCACGGCAAATCCATCAGAGCCAATGCCAAGCTCGTGCTGGATTGGCTCGTGAACAAGTTCCAAGATCCTGCGGAGAATGACAATAAGTTCCACAAGTTCCAAGCTCTTGGGAAGAATGACATCAAGTTCCAAGATCTTGGGGAGAATGACAACAAGTTCTACCTTGTTCATCCCGAGTTTGGGCTCCCGCAAGTTCTGCTCGATCCAGATTCTGGGCATGTCACCAGCATTCTGGACTGGGATGGTGCCAAGACTGCGACGATCCACAGCCTTGCCGCTGGTTTCTACATGCCGGACTACTATTGGTATGACGATCCCGATGAAGATGAGATGTGTGAGTTTTTCAAGCAGCAGCTGATCCAGGGAGGAGCGCCGGAGCTGGCCGAGCACTTGACACAAGAATCTCCTCAGCTCATTTTTGAGCAGCAAAGGCTTGGTAACAACGTGGGTGGCGTGGATAAGGTGCAGGCTGCATTGCGGAGCTTTTGCACGAGGTTGCAGGGACTGGGGATGATAGATCCCCAAGAACAAGTCGTGTGTAGCATCATCCAGCCTTGGAGCAAATCGTCGCGCTCTTCGTCATCGGCTTCTTCTGCTGCTTCATCATCGGCTTCTTTTGCTGCTTCATCAGGCTCTTCTTCGCCAAAGGAAGAAGTTAAAGCACAAGAAGAAGACTGTGGGTCTTCCACGGAATCAAGTGAAGATGCTTCTTCTTCGTCTGAAGGAGAGGAAGAAACAAGTTCTGAGGAAGAGAAGGAAGGTGGCGAGTGTGTAGCTTAAATCTAAGCTGCTTATATATTCTAATAGTTTTGTAGCCATCACACTAAGGTTGGTATGTTTCTAGTTAGACAACTTGTCCAAATTAATATGGTTTTGTAGGGCAAAATAATACTTGTAATCCAAATATTAATGTGATTTTAAAGGCAAAATAATACTAAGCGACTTCACAAAATATTAATTGCAAATACAGTCTGTAAGTGCTCATGTTAAGAAAAACAAGGAACTGATAAAATAAAGCAACCAAACTTTTGCAAACCTTACCAATAGAGACTCTTCTTCTCGATCTTTTCACAGCCATATCGATCTCACTGCTCACACCTTCCTGCCACCCCTCGGAGAAGACTGGCGCTTGTGAATCCCACGGTCCCGGACTTTCAAGTCGGCCTCCCACCTGGGACGAGAGTGAGGCCTCCGGCTATAGCGATCATCAAACTCCCTGTCCATTCTACTCTCCCCCGGAGAAGAAGGCCTTCGATCCCTGTGATGACCACCATGACCACCACCACCACCACCGTTCATATCGTGGATGCCAACGTCTCTCTCCCGGAATCCTCCCCTCTCCTGGGGATGCTGCTCCATGAACCTGGCGTCCATGGGTGGCATCCTGTCGTGAAATCCCCGCGGCATCATGCGGTCCCAGACCTGCGGAGGAGGTCCCAAGTCGATCATACCTCTGGACATGGGAGGCGGGCCGAGGACGCTGGGAGGCGGTAGAGCATCGTGAAATCCCCGCGGCGGAGGCGGCTCCATCGCAAAAGGGTGGCGAGGCCTCTGGCAGCTGTTACAGTTAGATCGACGAGCAAAGTTGAGATTCCCACACCTGGAAGAGAAAAAGAAAACAAAAAACCACTGTGAGTCGAGGGAGCAAAAAGTAGAACACAAAGCTTTTGCTTACGTTGGCTCCGAGCAAATCCAGTCGCCCTCTCTTGGCACGATATTCGGATTGTTCCGAGGAGGCCCGTCGAATTCCCTCCTGTAAGGTGGCGAGCGATGGCCGCCGGGGCGATCAAACGGCGGAAGATCGACCGGACGACCTCGAGCTCTACTGTCACGGTACCCCCGAGGACTTGTTCTTCCACCACCACCGCCGCCACCGCCGCCACCGCCACCGCCACCACCGCCGCCACCGCGGAAACCATCGTGCTCTACGTAGTGATCCGACCGCCTGTGACGAGAAACCGGGCTGGCCGCCTGGCCCCGGTGCAGACCAGCGGATACGTGAAGCTTCCGCCCTCTAAAGCTGTAGCCTGGCGAGCATGAGAAAAACGTTGGTTATCATCTAGCTAAACTTCCTTCCACACAAGAGCTTCGTGAGTATACCATGGAAGTGCTTAATCACTGCGTCCACCGCATGCATATTCTCTACCACCACCTCTGCTTCCTTGGATCCTGTATCCTTGTTTTCATATATCTTGATCATGGGGAGCCTGGATCTGTGGTCGATCTGTGATAGCGAGATCATTCACCGGTGAGAGGAGGAATCTGAAACCATGAGCAGTACACCAAAACCACATTGACTAGTACCTTCACCCCAGCACCTTCTCCGAGTAACATTGCCACGGACCCCTCCCTGGCATCGTCTGGGAGATTGGAGATGTAAACCGCGTCACCGAATCCTGCAGTAGACATTGCTGAGCCCCGGACACTGTTGTCAACCAAAAGATATGTGTGTTTATAGCACAGACACCACCACCACCACCACCACCACCACCACCACCACCACCACCATCACCACCACCACCCCAGGCAAGACGACCAACGAGAGAGACGACGCTTGGAACCTTGAGCCACCAGAGTTGTGCCGTGAAAACCCAATCTAGTTTCTCTTTTTCTCCAGATCTTCTCTCAGGCTATGCAAGCTCCAAGCCAAAGTGACCAGACTCGAGAGAAAAGAGTGGCGGCCAATGCAAAGGACTAGAGAAATCGAGACCACCTATATGCAAATTACCAGGCATCCATTCGTCCTTCCAAGACTGCTATGCTTTCTTTCTTTCTTTCTTTTTTTCCTTTCCACCCATGAAGAAGAAGAAGATACCAGTGAAGAAGAAGAAGCAAACCTGAAGAACGGACTCTCTCCTCCCGCGGCTCATAGTGTGGCAAGCCATTCCGGGCGTGATGGTGAGGCATAGATCCCTGGAAACCATGGCCAATTTCTGCGGAGCTGGATCCGCCCTTGACGATGAGACTACTCAACCCTCGCCGCGGCTCCTTGTCTCTGTCCCCGCCGCCTCTCTCCAGATCCCTTTCCCTGCCGTTGCTCCTCTCTCCTCTATCCCACTCGCTGTGATTCCGGAAACCCCCGATCCGACCATCGCGCTTGTCCAGGCGCTCGTGTGGCGGCGCTCGCCTGAGATCGTAGCCGCCGTGGCGATCCCCCATGGTAGTGGTAGCGAATCACAATGCCTGGGACAGAAATCCAGAGAAAGAGATCCACCAAGCCGGTACCCCGCGGCAAACCAGAGATTGACAACGCCTCCTAGTCGCAGCCGAGCTCCTAGCCGCGCGGTCGATCGATCTATCGCCTCCAAGCCCTAGCTAAGAACCTACCAAGGAATCGAACCCTAGCTTTAGGGTTCGTCGTACCATTTTCGAATATGCCAAATTCAAAATTTAAAATAGTCTAGTTGGCAACTTCATCATTCATCCACTCGAGCTCTTGGTAGATCTTCTCGCTCGATTCGATCCATCTTCTCGAGCTCCTGGTGGATCCTCTCGCTCGATTCAAACTTGCCAGCTTCATCCCCCCACCTCGATCCATCCTCTGGAGCTCCTGGTGGATCTCCCTTCATCCCCCGCCTCGATCCCTCTCACAGCTTCATCCCCCGCCTCGATCCATCCTCTGGAGCTCCTGGTGGATCTTCTCGCCCAATTCAAGCTCGCACACTTCATCCCCCACCTCTCTCCATCCTCTCGAGCTCCTGTCCCTGTTCCTCTTTCTCGAGCTCGCTGCGTCCTCAAATTCTCCACCCTCGGCGTAGATGCTCGACAGTGCTACGAAAGAGGAGGCAACGTAGGACGACGAGCTCGAGCCTGGATTTAAACCCACCGCCTTCTCGACAACTCGTTTAGCTCGCGCGATATCTCCGTGCATTCGGCATGCCGCTAGGAACGTTGCCAGGATCACCGAGTTTGCTGGAACTGGCATCCCTGCTATGAACTTCTCCGCCTCCTCGAGCCAGCCGAGTCGTCCCAGAAGATCCACCATGCACCCGTAGTGTTCCACGCTCGGCTGGAGCTCGAAATCCACCACGAGCGACGTGAAGTACTGCGCCGCTTCTTCGGTGAGGCCTCCGTGGCTGCATGCCGCGAGAGCGTTGACGAAAGTTACTTTGTCCACTGGGATGTCTTCCTGGAGCATCTCTCGGAAGAGCGTCACGGCCTCGATCGATCGCCCGTGCTGCGCGAACGCTGCCACCATGCTGTTCCAGGTGATGTTGTTTCGCAGCGGCAGCGACTCAAAGACGTCGAAAGCTTGCTGGAGAGTCCCACACTTTGCGTACATGTCGAGAAGAGCTGTTCCCACGAACACGTCTTTCTCGAGCCCGGCCTCGACTATTCGCTGGTGGACGGACTTCCCTTCTCGTAGCGATAAAAGCCCCGCACACGCGTTTAGCACTGTGATGTACGTGATCTTGTCCGGTTCCATGTCCATCGTCTTGAAGAACTTCACGGCTTCCTCGTGTTGCTCATACTGGACGTAAGCCGAAAGCAAGCAGTTCCACAAGACCAGCCTCTTCTCTGGAATCCTGTCGAACAAGTCCCGAGCTTCTTCCAAGTATCCACACTTCCCGTACATGTTGACAAGTCCTGTGCCGAGTATTGGATCCAACTCGAGTCCCTGTTCCACGATCCTCTCGTGAATTTTCTTCCCGGAGGTTATATCCTGTAAACTCGCGGCTGCGTTGGCGACCGTCATGAGAGTCACGTTGTCCGGTTTCACGTCTTTCATGAGGAAGAAGAGCTCCACCGACTGGCTCCAGAGACCCGAATGAGCGTAGCTGCCGATGATCGTGTTCCAGGATATCACGTCCCTGTGATCCATCTTGTCGAACACCTCCCGAGCATCTTGGAGGCTGCCGCATTTCCCATACATGTTGATCACCGCGTTCCTGACCATAAGAATGGAGTTTAGTCCGGATTCGCGAGCTCGATCATGGAAAACTTTACCGGTTTCTAGAGCTCCTTGGCTGCAGCAGGCCTCGAGCAGCGTTACAATGCTTACTCTGTCAGCTCGGACCCCTTCCAGATCCATTCTCTTGAAAATTGCGTAAGCCTTCTCGTGCTGGCCTTGCAGAGAGTAAGCCGAGACGATGGTCGTCCAAGAAACGATATCTTTCTTCTCCAGCTCGTCGAAAACCTTCTGAGCTTCCGCAGGAGCTTCACACTTTGCGTACATGTTAAGGAGAGCGTTTGCCACGATGATCTCCTTCTCGAATCCACCTTGTTGACAGCAGAGATGAACGATCTTCCCATCTTCCAGAGCCGGCGAAGCGTTGCAGGCATGGAGCACCGTCACGCAGGTAACCTTCTCGGGCCTCACACCCTCGAGCTGCATGAGCCGAAAGATCATTCGAGCCTCTTGCATTTGCCCGAGCTCGCTATACGCACCAAGTATCGAGTTCCACGACACAACGTCGCGAGCTTTGATCCCCTCGAAAGTCTCGCGAGCGTCTGGGATGCTGCGGCACCTGCCATACACACAGATTAGAGCATTGGTGAGAACCAGATCCAAAACGTTACCAGAGCTCGAGCAAAGATGGTGGAGAGCTCTTGCCTCGACGAGAAACTCCGGCCCCTGGAACGCGTTTAGGACCGTGAGGAGCGCAGCTCGATCAGGCCTGACGCCCTCTAGCTGCATTTGCCGGAAGAGCAGTAGAACCATTCGATCTTTCCCCCGGGACGAGTAGCTCGCCATCATCAAAGTCCACAGGACGACTCCGCGGTGAGCCAGGCGCTGGAAGACTCTCTCGGCCTCTGTCAAGCTCCCACACCGGAGATACATTTGGACGATGGGGCAGGCGAGAAGAGGATCCTGCTCCAGACCCTTGGAAACTATTTGCGCGTGGATTCGCTTCCCAGATTTCTCATCCGTGCACGATTGGAGAAGCCGGATCAAGGCGAAGCAATCGGTGGTGTCGAGGAGATCAAGCGCCTGGCTGTTTAGATCCGCGCCAGCGCCGGCGGCCCAGGAGGCGATCCCGCGGCCTCCTGGAGGGGCAAGAGCACTAAGAAAATATTCTTGTGGATCGAAATGCTGCTCACCTCGCGGTTCCCAGCGATGAAATCTCCTGCTAGCGAGCACCTCCAGAAGATTTCTCGGGGAAATGTAGAGCACAGACGCGCCAATATGCTTCCCGGGCCGCGAGAAGCGCCTCATTCCAGCGAGATCGCCCACATTTCCTGGAGCGAAGAAAGAACCCTAGCTAAAACCCTCACGCAGAAAGCATATTCGGTTTTTGAATAGTACCGCCAACGCCGTCAGTTTTTGTACGGATATTCCGTCAAGCTGGCGATGACATCCTAGTTCGCGTTGTCGGGGCTTTAGGGCTGGAGCACTCGCCCTGGCAATGGCGATCGCGGCGTTCTTGAGGTCTTGAGGTCAGTCGCAAGCTCTTACATTCTCGATTTCTGGCGCTCGCGGCTCCAAATTCCTCTTGGAAAGCTGCGGCATCGATCGATCCAAGATGCGGGAGCTTCCGATCCTGGCAGCTGCTGGAACAGGGGATTGCTGACATTCTTCCTTATGGCCATCAGCGTCTATGAGAATCTCACAGTAATTTTTCTTCTATTCGTGCGCTTGACGCTCTGTGCTGCTAACTCGCAAGGAGGTACGCAAATTTGGTGGTACTTTCTATGTCTTTGATTAATATCTCTTTACGCTCGTCTCTCACGCTTTTTTTTTTCCGCAGCTGTGAACGCGAGCTTTATCAGTCTTGCTTGCGGATGTGACAACGCTTTTTTGGATTCTCACAACCTCACCTGGATACCCGATGACGCTTACGCTGATGGATTTGGACGACCGGTTTTTGTTCCAGGAGGCAAGGAGAATTTAGGACCCACGAATGGCTTCGACCATAAGCTCTATGATCACCTCAGGTACTTTGACGATACTAAGAGCTGCTACAAGCTGCCAGTTACACCCGGAACTATATACTTGATCCGAGGGACGTTCTTCTATGGAAACTATGACACGAAAGGCTCTCCGCCATCGTTTAGTATCTCCCTGGACGCGACTTTGATCCACAAAGTTACTTTCACGGATGATGTCAAGCATGCCGAGGCAATTTTTACAGCTGACGCTCAAGAAGTGAGCTACTGCCTTATTGCTCTCTCGGCAAGTATGAAACCTGTGATATCATCATTGGAACTCCGGCCTTTGGTGAATTTCTTTCTTCCCGATGGCATCCTGGAGACAATCGCCCGTTTAGACGTTGCGAACTGGAACGGAAACATCAGGTAAACAGATCAAACTTTGATGTTAACTCTCGTTACTCAAGCAATATTTCAGGTACCCTGTCGATCCATCAGATTTGATATGGTATACAGATATATCTCGATCGGATGGGTTCGTCAACGTAAACGCTGGCAGCGACTTTTATGATCACGTTCCAAAGGTCGTAATGGATACTGCAGCGACCTCGGATAACTCTTTACAATATGTATTCGACGTCGAAAGCTCTGACCTTGACTTCTACGTTTGTCTGCACTTTTTGGAGCTGGAACCATTACTGAGGCCTGGTGATCGAATTTTTGACGTGCTTGCAAACCATCAAATGATTCGCAGGAACTTAGATATTTTGGAAATATCTGGCTTGGCCAGAAGTATTGGATATAAGCTATGTTTCGAAGTGCTTGCGAGCCCGACACTGAATATCTCGCTTATCGCCAATGGTACAAGTCGAAAGGGTCCCATGTTGAATGCTCTTGAAGCGTATCATATTGTCAAAAAGGCAGCTGGAACCTTGAAACGCGATGGTAATGTTCTTTCTTCCCAGTGAGCATCGAAGGTGCTAACTTTGGTTCTTCCTTGTAGTTGATGCTTTGCTGCCTTTGAAGGAAATGTACCGATCTAAATTGCAGTGGTCGGGAGATCCGTGCCTTCCGTTGCAGACAAACTGGGATGGCATTAACTGCGACATGAGAAGCGGAGGGCCAGCTATAGTTGAACTGTGAGTACCCACCCATATTTTCAAGTATTAATCCTCTGAACAGAAATCTCGAAGGAAAAGGTCTAAATGGTTCTGTTCCAACCAGTTTAAGCAGATTGGAGGATCTAGAGATTCTGTAAGTTACGCATTTGTGTTTGCAACAATATGTGACTTGCGGTTGACAGGCAACTAGACGAAAACATGTTTATTGGAGAAATTCCCAACTTTTCCTCCCTTAAGAATTTGACAACACTGTGAGTTCGTTTCCCATTGATAAGCCACCTCAAGAGTTGATTTCTTGCACAGGGAACTTGAAAATAACAACCTAAACGGGACGATTCCTGAGTATTTGGGACATATGCCAAAGCTTGCGGTGCTGTAAGTATGACATGACGCTGTCGTTGTTGGCTGATCAATATATTTGTGGTAGGCACTTGGACAATAACAACTTGGGGGGATATATACCATCTGACCTTCGCAAAATGGTGAACTTTACGTAAGCATTGCGGAGGTTCCCCAGTTTTTCATTCTAACGATAGAATATTTCAGATTTTCTGGGAACCAGTTGCTACTAGGCTGGCGTGAGGATGCAAAGGACCATAGTTTGACGAAGTTTTTCATTGCTGGATTTACTGGCGGCTTTGCAATCCTCTTGGTTGTCATGGCTGGGTGCTTATTTTTTGCTATTCGCAAGCGCAAAATGAAGTTGATAGATGTTGTGGCATTCAGTGCGAACAGCCAGTTGAAAGCAACGCCGCAATGTAAGAAAGGCTTGCTTTTTCTCTCTTTTATTGTTTTTGGAGCTGACATTAGACCTGCAGATGTGACGACAATTGCCAAAGATGCCAAAGACTCAAATCACATACGCCGACTTACTCTGAAAGAGGTAGTCAATGCGACCAATTGTTACAAGACTATGATCGGTGAAGGGGGATTTGGCACTGTTTTCTACGGCACACTCTCTGGTCAAGCTGTAGCTGTGAAGGCTAGATCGTCAAGCTCAATACAAGGAACTCGTGAGTTCAACACAGAGGTACTACCAAGCTTGTTTTCATCGTTTCAGTTTCGAAGTGTGTCTATGTTATGTAGCTCAATCTTCTCTCTAGAATTCAGCACGAAAACCTCGTTCCACTGCTTGGTTTCTGTGCGGAAGATGAACAAGAGATTCTTATATATCCTTACATGCCAAATGGATCTCTACAGGATAGATTGTATGGTAAGTATGCAACATATGCATTTGCCTACTTGACACTTGCTAAACAGGCGAAGGTTTCAAGCGAAAGCCTCTCGACTGGCCAACGAGATTGTCTATAGCTCTTGGTGCTGCCAAAGGTTAAAAACGCATTCTTTTCTTTCGAGGTTGTCACACATGTGTTTATAACAGGTCTCTCGTTCCTTCACGCTGGAGGGGACTTATCAATTATACACAGGGATATTAAGTCCAGTAACATTTTGTTAGATCAATCCATGACAGCAAAGGTTGCAGATTTTGGATTTTCAAAGTTTGCTCCTCAAGACGGCGATAGTGTTGTCTCTTTGGAAGTTCGTGGAACGGCTGGCTATTTAGACCCGGAGTAAGTCATAAACCTCTGCATTGCTGTGAAACAAACTTGCTCACTGTTTTTTCCAGATATTATTTGACACAAGAACTCACAGTTAAAAGTGATGTCTATAGCTTTGGAGTGGTCCTTTTAGAAGTCATATGTGGCCGTGAGCCACTGAGCATCGACCGTCCTCGATCGGAGTGGAGCTTGGTTGAATGGGTAGGATATTATATCCACCGCGTGAGTTTTAGACGGACTCTAAAGCTTTACTGAAATTTTGCAGGCAAGACCATACATCCAAGACACAAACATCGAAGCCATAGTCGACTCGAGCATCAGCTCCAGCTACAGTCCGGAGGCGATGTGGAGAGTGCTGGAAGTCGCGATGCTGAGTGTCCAACCTCATTCCAGCCGGAGGCCGTCCATGTCCGACATCGTCCGCGAGCTGGAAGACGCTCTCATCATCGAGAACAACGCGTCGCAGTTCATGGCCTCCATCGACTCCAATCCCTCCGGCCTCTCTAAGCAGTTCGACATCTCCCCGGCATTCTCAGAGACGATGGGCTCTCCAGATCCGCGATGAGCCTCTCCAGGTACTTTGATTCGTAGCGTCACTGCTCTCTTCTTTTCTAAATTCTTGTGAGGTGCAGAACAATTTTGTTAGCTTGTCTTGAGTGTACAGCGCCATCTCAGGAAGCTCTTCCTGCTTTAAGAAGAACAGTGCAGACTACCGAAGAACTCCAAGGTACTCCTAATCATTCCCTTGCTTGTCAATCCTAATTGCTTTTTCAAAAGGAACGATTCTAAAGCTGACTTACAAAGTGACTGATGCTCTCAGCTAAGCAAAAATTGCTTCTCTCCATAAGAAAAATGAAGATGAGCTCCAGTTATATCTCTTTGGCCATGGTTGCTGTGCCTTGCCACTTGGACACCAACAAGGTGATTATAAGACTATAGTGGCAAATGTGTTGAAAAAACGACCAGCATTTGTCAATGAAAGCAATTTTTTCGCCTACTGTTAGGAAACCTTAAAACTCCATTTAATTTAAGAAATATAAATATAAATTTCATTATAAAGGTTATTTTATTATATTTTTCAGCTGGATTATAGCTCACAAACTACTAGCTGTATACATACTTTCTTGTATTATCAATATACTAATAAAAAGAAAAATTATATTTATTATAAAGCTTGTTGTAAAAATAATAACTTTATTAAAACTCATTTTTAATATAATTAATTAATTAATATATTAAACTTGCAAAAGATTATTTATTAATTTATTCATTGTTCACTCTAATAATTCATTGTGCTTTATACTTTGCTATAACATATTTTATTCTTAAAAGTAGCATCGTATGTGTATATGTACATCCATATACATGCATATACATACATGTACATATATATATATATATATATATGTGTGTGTGTGTGTGTGTGTGTGTGTGTGTGTGTGTGTGTGTGTATATATATATATATGTATATATGTATATATATATTACGTAAAAATAATATTAACACTGAAACACCAACTTTTATCATTTATTCACTTTAGCTTGTAAAAGAGGATAAAAAACTTTATTTATCAAGTCATTATAAAATTATTTCGCATTAAAATAATTGATGAAATCTTAGATATAAGATAATTGAACAATTACAAACATAAAAAATAATTTTTTTAATATAAATATTAATTTAATATAATGGATGAAAAAAGTGGTGTTAAGTTTATCAACTATGCCTTGAAAGAACAAATAAACATATTTTATATGGAATTAATAAATACAATACTATAGGGATATCTAAAAATGTGTTGAAAAGTGATAAAAAATTTAAAAGTATGGGATATTAAACTTTTATAGTTAACATGAGTGTAATTAAGTTCCAAGGTTACATTGATATAAAAAGGATGAAAAATAAATATTATAGAAGGTAAAAATGATAGTTTAATAGTTCAAATTTGGTTCTTAAAAACTTTGGATACTAAGTAGTTATATCATGATTAAATCCCTAACCCTATAATTAATAATATGATCTAATAACTTAGTTAATTAATTTTTAAATTTTATTTTTTTGTATAATTTTTAACCAAAAATAAAATATCTTTATAAAATTTTGAGCTGAAATTATATTATAAATACATTATATTTTTCATTGATAAAAATAATTTGTTACTATAAGATCTATTCAGAACATAACCATTAAGTTTTTTATAAAAACTTAGAGATATTTCACATTGATTTATAAATGAATTGATTAAAACATAGAGAGAAAGAGAGAAAAAGAGATATTTTTGAAACTAAAAGATTTTAAAGATCTTTTTGAAGTTTTTACTTCTGAAAAACTGAAGAACAAAATCCAAATGTTGAAATTGAAAATCAAATTAGTCATATACATTTACTTGCCATTAGTGTTTTGCAACAACATTGGCTAATGTAAAATAGATAAAATTTGCCCAATCAAGCAAATTGCTAATTGAAATGGTCAATTACTATCTAATGCACATATATGTCCTTCTATAGAGTGCTAGATCTAGAGGTTGACACTGTGATCTTTTGATCTTATGATGGATTTATCAAATGATTAAAGGGAGCACTAGATTCTAGCTTCTTCAAAAGAATAAGAGATGACTAGCATTAACCCTTTATTTCTCATGTGGTACTTCCTCTAATGGATGGATTGGAGGTTTACAACTAAGCAATTTTCTCTTTAATACAGCAAGTTAGGACCAAGTGAACAATTTTCTTATATCCCCTTTGTCTTCTCTTTTAGTTTCTATATAAATCTAATATACATATGTAACCCAAAATCACAGTTACCCAGTGTTGAATTTTAGGTGCATAATCACACATATTTAGTCTTGCCACAAATGTGCCACATCACCAGTTAATTGCCATATGTTAACGGTCCAGATTTTTCAAATGCACCGGTCTAGATTGTACATACATTATCCAATGGACGGCCCAGATTTCAATTATCACATTCTTGAGAAACAATCACCTGGAAGAAAAAATTGGAGAGGAAAATTTACCTTCAAGGCAGCGTTTCCCAAGCTTCCACCTTCAACATAACATCCACACTAAAGAACAAAGAGATCATTCTCCACACATGGGAAGAATCTCTTACCTGGAGCTTGTAGTGTGGGCATTTGCCTCGATTTCTCCACAGCGCCTCTCCCATTCCCATCAATCTTGCCGCTGTGCTGATAGAGGAAAGAAAGAAGAATCACTCAATTGTAGAAAGAGAAGGAAATATTGCCAGGATATCGGGAAAACAAGAGGATGAAGACGCAAACTGCGCCTCACTGCCGCTAAGAACCCTAGCTGCCCTATGGCGCCTCCATCTCCTGTGACTGAAGCTATGCGTGCGTGGCAAAATATGCCACATCATCCTTGAAAGTGTAAGCTTTCTCGGGTTTGGTAAGTAATATTAAACATAGAGAAAGTTTAAGAACAAATTTGAGTCTGTAGTTTAGATAAAAATATTCTAGGATTTCTTTGCGACTTGGTAAGTTTTCTTTTTTCTTGTAAACCATGAGGAGAAAACTGATATGTAGGATGCACTCACCTTTACCTCTAACGCCGATTTCGAGAGCAAATTCTCGGCTACTCCTGCCGAAATTCCAGTTCCCGCGCTTTACATGATCATTTGATTTCTTTTCTTTTACTGGCAAGCAAAATCCAGCGTGACGATTCCTTCAAAACAAAGTGAAACTCGTCAGCAGCTCGACTCTTTCACCTCACGAGCTTTTCAAGGACAATGAAAAGCAATTATAGCAACAAGATCAAGGCAAAGCTGTCATAACACTTTAATTCAAATCCCGAGCCATTGTTCTTTTATGACAAGGAGCAGCTGCCAAATCCCGAGCTTTTGTTCTTCTATGACAAGCGCAAGTAAAAAACAAAGCATAAAACGCAAGCTCTTCGAACACAGCTCTAATCGCCCAGCCACGCCACGAATGCCTCCAGAGGGCACTTTACATTCTGTAGATAAGTATATATACGGTATTCAGTTAAAGTCTTTTTCAGGATTTGACGAAGCAAAAGGGTGGAGTTTCCCCAAGTTCTTCCCTGGAACGAAAATGTTTTACATGTCTTGTCAACCTCCACGGCCAGGACCAAAGCCAAGAGTAGACTCTGTCTCTCGAAGTTTTTTGCACTAGCAACTGCAAAAATTTCTACATCTAAAAGACTTCATGTGAGAGGGATTTTTCTATCCAAATCAAATAGAATATATCTGGCAAACCCACAGTAAATTCACAACGGGCTGGTGTTGATGTCTGGGATGTGTTGTCATCATTGGTGTCACTCAATGAGTATCTGGAATTATTTTGCTCCAGATCTTTGAGGCTATCAGGTACTTGGGCCTGATCCATCAAGTTAGGAGCTTTTCCTATGTGTTAACAACTTTGAATTTATTAGAACACTAAAAGTAAGAGCAAAAGATGGAAATAACTTCATGAGCTCCTTTTCAATAAGAATGCTCTCAAGATCAGTAGCAAAGAATTAATAAATTAATAAATTAATAAGTGTGTATTGCCCTCCTTAAATAAAAACAAAATAAGACTAGGATGCCATTAGTCTCGACACTTGGCCAAAACAACGTAAAATTGCATGCCACACAAATGTAGGTTCCCAAACTATTGCAACTCAGGTTTGCAAATGCTATTGCCAAAGTTGAGATGGTGAAGTTCCTGAGCAATCTTCAAAAAGATATAGAGATGCTTTATGAAAGTAATATCCAGTATATATTAACTTATATTTAGTATTTTGTTCTAACATACCATAAATGAGGAATGAAACACATCATCACTTCACTGGGTGCCAAAGCCCATAGGTTATAATGCCAACAGCTCAATTGACAATGAGATTAAGAAGTGGGTTGAGTAGGATATTTACAACAACCAGTGTCTAAAACTCCAGTGCCATATGGCAAATGATGAAAACCTTGAATGCATATGGATCTGGAGCATTCGATCTAGAGAGTTCAACATCATGTTTTAGGCCAAGAGGAAAATACTACCATTAGAAGGTATCATCTAAAACAAAAATTTCTTTTGCAGCTGTAGATATCTTGTAAATATAAGTGTGTTGAACACATATATTCCAGTGTTTTAGCTTTCAATTGTTTTCTTCATCTCCGTGGGCTCAATTTTAATCCTTCCAAAATATTTCTTTTCCTAGAATATATTAACATTTTCATTTGATAAATATAAAACAGAAATTTAAATTCATAAACCTTTATATGAATGGAACTTAATCACGCAAACTGGCTGCCAACAATGTCGTGCGTGCTACTTGATCGTGCTTGAAAGGCATGGCTCGCTCCACTGCTACCGCTTCCTCGAGAGAGCTCGCCCGACCAAACAAGTCCACCATGCTAGAGTAGTGGCGAAGGCCTGGAGCTACGCCATACCTCCACATCTCCTGGAAAAACTTCCGGCCCTGCTCGATCCATCCCGCGGCACTGCACGCTGCGATAACCGAGAGGAACGTAAATCCATCCGGCCTGACGCCCTCCTCTAGCACGTTACCAAAGATCTCCACCACTTTGGCTGCGTCGCCTTGGTGACTATAGCTTGCTATCAGTGTGTTCCACAAAACCACGTCTCTGGATATCACAGCAGAATCGAAGATGTGCTGAGCAACGGCTATACTTCCACACTTGCCGTAGAAATCGATGACACTGTTTGTGACGCTGCTGCTCTCCAGTCCCCTCTTGCAGATCCCGGCATGGATTTTCCTTCCGGTTTCCAGATCCACCAAAGTCCCGCAAGCCATCAGCACCGCTGCAAAGGTTGGCAGCGTTGCTTCCAGCCCTGTGCATTCAAAAGCTTTGAACAGCTCCAAAACCATCTTGCTCTCCCCTGTCTCAGCGTATCCCAGTAGCAACGAGGTCCACGACACGACGTCGTGATGCTTCATCTGGTCGAACACCGCTCGAGCGTCCAGCATGCTCTTACACTTTGCGTAAGTGTCGACCAGGGCACTGGAGAGGAAGATATCATCGAGTCGGACGGCTTTCGCTGCTTGAGAGTGGATCCGGAGAGACTTTTCCAGATTCTTGACCTTCCAATGGATGATCTCATCGCCCTCTTCCTGCGCGGCCAAACAAGCGCAAGCCATTAGTCCGGCTACAAAACTTCGAGAGTTTCTCGCACAACCTTGCGCTTCCATGCACTCGTAGAGCTCCAGAGCCACCGCGCTCTCGCCGTTTTGCACGCATCCAAGGATCAGACACGTCCACAGCACAACGTCGTGCTCAGGCATCCTGTCAAAAACAGCTCGCGCGTCAAGCAAGCTTCCAGACTTGGCATACACATCGACCAAATTACTTGCCGCGAAGAAGTCCAAGCTTGCGTTGCAGCTCCCCTCCAAAGCTCGAGCGTGGATGGTGAAACATGTTTCCAAGCTCTTGAGCTTCACGGCCCTCCCGTTTAACTCCACGCCAGCTTCTTTCTCTGCCAAAGCACCACACGCCATGAGAACCGCAACAAACGTCCTCGCATTTGGCACACACCTTTCACCTTTCATGGATTCGTAGAGCTCCATAGCCACTTCGCACTGGCCGTTCTCTACGTAACCGAAAATCAAAGCAGTCCACAACACCACATCACGCTGTGTAGCCTTCTCGAAAACTTCTCGCGCTTCCGCCATGCTCCCACACTTCGCGTACAAATCGACCAAACTGGCAACCACAAACTTATCCAAGTTACAACCTCTCTTGGCAGCCAAGGAATGAATCTCCATACCTCTCTCCAAGCACCATCTCGCGCGATGATCAAGCTCCGCCAAGCCAGCGCAAGCCATCAGCGCGGACACAAAAGTTCTAGCATCCATGGCACAGCTTCCTTGCACGAGCCTCTGGAAGAACTCGAGCGCTAGCTCGTTCTCGCCATTTTCCACGAGCCCCAGCGAGAAAGCGTTCCAGGAAACCAAGGCGTGGCACGGCATTCTCTGGAACACCGCACAGGCGTCACCCAAGCTGTGGCATTTGGCGTACATATCAAACAGCGACGTGGAGATGTAAATGCTCGTACCTCGTCCCCGGAGATGATTCCAGTGGATCCTCTTGCCGCTCTCCAAGTCCTTCAATCTCCTACACGCCCTCAATGCGGCCAAGACGAGGGGATTGTCTTCCTGTTGCTCGCGATTTCGGCTCCACAGGAGGAATCTCGCTGACAGCTCGGGATCGAGGCAGGATCTCGATGCCGCGAAGAAAGTACTAACAGATTTCCTGGCGCCGCGACGATCGATCATTGCTCATGACGCCCCTGAAACCCTAAACTTCCTCTTATTGTTATGGTCATTTCCTCTAAAGAGATTTAATTCGCATAAGCTTATTTATCTTAGGTTTGTTTTGGTAACATAGAAGGGTAAGTGTGGCTTAACCACATCAACATGTGTACAGGTCTGTGGCGCATCTCAAGGCCAGCTCTTCTCCATTTGCAACTGCGGTGTTTCGGTTATGGTGTCTGGAATCAAGGGTCTCTTTATGAATGAAAAAGTTCGAGTGCAAGGCTTCCCATCGACCATGCTCTCTGCTCGAGACAGTTGCTGAGAAATTATCTTATGAGCCACATGACATGGTTAATATGAAATCAACGTGGCTCAACTGGAAGCTCTTACACGAGCGTAGGGTGTTTTGTGACGCTTTTGAGTCAGGGCCAGAGCTAGTGATCTTGTCTCCAAAGTTGAATTGGACAGGAGATGATCAGCAAAGAGGCACTTTACAGTCTTATCAAGTATAAGTTTCTGCACAGGCGCGAGAAATAGGATGCCATTAGGTCATTCTTGCAAAAATATTTCTAGGGTTTATCTCCTAGTCTGGTAAGATGAGGTTTCCTTGTCAGCGCATGGCCTCTGGACAGCGCCACTCAGCACATCGCCCGCCCTAGCGCAACCGCTACACCATGGCCAAACGGAGAACGTTAAAAGAGCGGTTCGCCGATGTGGATTCTCAAGTTTCTGGAGGAACCAGACACCGGGATTTTGATAAGACTATCAGCAGAAGTGCCACCTTAGACAAAACCGAATGTCACATATTGCTTGCCATACACAGCACCACAGTTATTAGCCTTCTTGAAAGATCGTCGCTCCCAAACCTCATATAAAAATCAACCAGATTTATCCAAGTCACAGCCTCTCTTCGCAGCCAAGGAATGAGCGTTCCAGGAAACCAAGCTAACAAAAAAGGTTTCATTTGAAACTTCACTTTTATCTTTAACCAGGGTGAAAATTTTGGTAATTTCTACGTTTTGTAAGGGTAAACCCCATTTTTGCAGGGTAAAATTATGTGGCTTGCGGTCGGCGCATCCTGGTCAACAAATTCAGGTCCAGTCAACGAGGAAAGCTTTTTGCTTTACAAGCAAGCCATTCATTGTCGCACAGGTCTAAGCTTACAGCAGTGAGTGATTCCCATGCTTTTTCTTGAATCTCTTGTTCTTCCCAGAAGAAGAGGAAACCTTTTAATTATTTTGCCTCCAGCTTAAAATCTAAAAAATTAAAATAATTTAAGAATCTCTACCAAAAAATTAAAATCATAATAAAGTTCCCTGGTTTGCTTAATAGTAGTGATCAAATAAAGATTTATAATCTATAATAATAAAGAGGAGTTGTCAAACTTTCTGGCAGGTAACTATGAAAGTGTTGTTTTTGTAACCACCTCTTAGCAAACAATCATGTTTGCTCTCAACCAATGGGAGGTTGCTAATTGCCTAGTACGAGAGAAGAAAATGTTGAGATGCATGTCACATGCATGTGTTGACAAACTCCACTTGACACCAAGAAATCCTTCTTGCCTTGCTAGACATGGATAAGCTTTTTCATCAAGTTCTCAGCTTCAAAAGGGCTCTCCAGCTCAATTGGAAAATATGACACTCGAGTCCTAACACAATAATTCACCCAGTCCCTGCTGCAATGCTTCTTTTCTCTCTTGCAAAGAGGAAACTTTGTCAAAGATTTGATCCAAAAGGGGCATTGGATTCTCTAGTTTCTTCTTGAGCTGCTCAATTAGAGGAACACATATCAGCTGGGTTCAAGTTGAGGGTACTGGATGTTAGAATGATTTTCTGTGTGAGCCACCAATAGATGAGCCAGGTTGCATAGTGCAAGACACTGATGAAGAGGCAGTCACCCAGTGGCTGCTTGTTAAACACCATTCTACCCTCATGCTCGGCCAGAAGTAGTTTACCACCGGAACAACTAGAGCCACTAAGTGAACAAGATCAAACCAGAGACAAACTTTTGTCTTCATAAAAGCAAGCAAAACAAGTTATTGATCAATGCAAAAAAAAGATTTTCAGTCAAGCACAAAAGGCATTATGATGAATGCATGTACTTGATGATGCATTGTTAATTAGCATTAACACTTAACCTTTTGCAATAGAGACTTGCAGGATTTTATAAGTCTTTTTAAGGACTTTAATAGTTTCTTATGGGGAAACACATATTACTTCCTCAATTCATCTTTCAAAGTGGAATATAATATTGATATTATTCTAATTTAATTTTCAATATAACAAAATTATAACAATCAAAACAGTATTTGCAAATTGGGCAGCATATAGCTAGTTATTAACATGTTTGTATTTTATAAACACAAGATTAATCTTAACCATTAAATGGTAGAATAAACTAGAATATACTAAAAAATGTTTAAGAAAGTTTATAAATTATAAACATGTAAAGTATTCTTGAATATTCTTGAATATTTTACCATTTAACATTGATATTAATTTGTTTCTTCTCAACAACAATCTTTCTAGATGTGTCCAAAGTTCCAATCGAGAGGATTTCCTAATATTCTTAGTGTATTTTTTTGTATTAAAAGTCCAAGTAGAACTTCATATTCACAAAATTCCAAAATTTCACAATTAACATAATTATGCCTAGTTAGCATCATCCTATCATGTACATTGGGGATATATTGTAAAATATCACAAATGTGGCTTTAGGTATTAAAAAATACTTGTTGACCAATACTTTTGGACATTCTCTCTTCTGCCATAAAGGTTGATACAGTTGGACCACTTTATTATTGGCCCCTCTTATGTTAGTGGAGTTAATTGGACATCTTAAGTGTACTTAGACCAAACAAGCATAAGGATGTAATTTTTTTTATATATTATTAGCTAAATGTGTTATACGTTGCACTAGCTAATAACAAGAACCCTCATGTGTTGAGTCTAGTTCCTCAATAATGCTTTATGATAACTTATTGTGTCCACTAAACAGCCTCACTATTATACCTCATGTATTGGTTCCATTCAGTCTTTTGTGCTATTTATAGTAAGTGGTTAAATCTGTCTAAAAGGCATATCTATAGAGTGTCATGAATCCCATGGTGTTGTTCTTACATCCCAATTCACAATTTAGTTCTATTCCATATCTAGTAAATTTTCAAATTTTATAAACTAGTTCTTGAGATTGGGGTGAAAGCTTAAAAGCATGCATTTTTCTAGGGTGAGGGATGAGGGGTTAAATGTATAGTAAGGATAGTATTTGGAAGCATTGTTGACCATTTAAGATATTAATTTGGCTCTTGCTAGGTTGTATTGCTCATGATTCTACGTCTAGCTTGGGAATAATCTCAAGTTCTATGTTGTTCTAGTCAGTGAGGTACCCATCTTTTTGTTACAAGCCACCAGTATGCTGGAATTGGGTTAAACACCATTTGATACTATTTTACATACAAAAGTTGGATATGGGGAGTTAGTGTTGGTAGGAGATATTAAGTGTGTACCAAATCTTCATTTTGTTGCACAAAGGGTTTGGAGTTTAATATAAGCCATAAATATTTTTTTTCTAATTTGCCAACTTACTTTTTCTATTTGACCACATTTGCCTTGGTATTAGTTAAGTTCCCATACCAAAGTCCCCACTTATTATACCATCTCTTACTTGGTCCTACTTAGATTTAACTACTCACTACACAAGCAATGGACTGTTAGCCA